CGACTTCCAGTTCATTGCGATTCATATTTGACTCAAATTTGGAAAAAGAGTTCAAAAGAGATGAGAATTTTGTGACTTTTATTGACCGCTAAATGAAGTGAATTTCAAATGAGAGTCCCTTTTATAGCCTTCAATACAACAATGCATTCATTCTCTCATTTCTCGCACTCTGAAAACAGTAAATGATTTATGAATTCAATAATTTTATATTCAAATTCTTATTAACCGTTTTGTAGTCAAAGTTTGATTTTTAATGGCATTTAAAATAACTCCCAAAACTGTGGGCTATATAGACATCAGAGACACAAAGAATAGCTTTTAAAACAAATATTATATTCAATTTCACTGATTAATAAAATAAGTTATTGAAACAAAAACTTTAATTATATTCAACTGTTTTACGATTTATGAATCAAATAGTAATTAATAAATACTTTCATTACAAATAATATTACTTTTAATTAATTATAAGAAATATATGTTTTGTCTTTGAATTCATAAAGTAATCAATAAATTGAGAATAAATTCATAAAATAAACAAATTATGAATTCATTTACAATAGAAATGAATATAAAATAGAAATTAATTTCAGAGATAAATAGCAATAATGACCACAAGAATGAGATCCAAACTCAGGGCACAGGTATTACGAGCGCCTGTACTCTCACTTCGCGGACTGGAGTGACTCGTGTTCTGACTGGTGGTCAGACCGGATGTAGTGATGGGACGGGTAGTTGTGGTCGTGAAGGGAGTGCTATTAATACGACATTCAAGTGACAGCTGACACGCCATCCCATTGATCGCACTCTTCGGCAAAGTGTCACAAAACTGATCCACAAATGGATGCCATTCCTCAGACTGTAGGTAATCCGTCGGTTATATTTACTCTTACGGTCCACCAACTCATCCAATGGTTGGCACTAATGGACACAAAAACATATGAATAGTCTTCACATTTGTCTCATTATAACGAATAAGTCATATAACAAGTGATGTCTGCATACATACCAGTGCTGTGTCCGTACAGATCGGGTGCTGTCTATCAATGTGTAGGTCTGTCGGGAGTCTGGCGTTCAGATCATCACAAGAATATAAAATCAAAGACAATAAAAGTATGCATTTTATGACAACTGAACTCATTGTCTATCTATTAAACGGATCCCAAGACTGTCACTAAATGTAAACACAATTGAAATTCAGATAATTGTAAAGTTCTCTCAAAACTGACGGTTAGTATGAATTGAATTCTTGACAGCATTTTCAATATTTATGGCAAATGTTGGCTAATCTCGTGATTAAAACAATTTATAAAATGAGTATAACTTATGACTGAGTCATTGAACTGTTGATCGCATGCTTTTGAAAGCGTTTGAAATCCCAGTAAATTAGTAGTGAATCTGAGTGTTGGTCGCAATCAGTGATCGGACAGCAAATCATGGCATACAGACCCCCGAATAGGCCGAATAGGAATGCCTTTCCAGTGAGTAATACCTATATTCAATGCATTCCCAGTAATAATACCATAAATCGTTGGACAACAGCAACCAAAGGGAAAGCTATCAAAGAGATCGAGTGATGACAACCTAACCGTCCCTTTCTATGATCAACTGCCGGAAGCCTTCAAACGGGCCAACCCTATCGCACCGGGAGGTGGTATCAGAACACCGCCGCCCAGTCATCGGCCACCCATTCCCGAGGAGGCAGAGCCTGTCGAACGGGATCCGAACCGTGGGGTTAGAGCCCAACGAAGTGGTCCGATGGGCGCACCGGGAGGACAGGCGTACAGTGGTCTCGACGAACCGGTGGGCCGCCAGCCGTGGGATATCACGGAAGAGGAGAAGCGACGAGACTTGGATTACGCTCATCAGGTGTACCTCAAGAGGCCTCAGTGGTGGAGGGATGAGAACCCGGAGCTGCCGAGGGGCGGGTTCCGAGTGCCGCCCCGTATGGACGCACCCCTACCCCCGCCCGGAGGCATAAAAGTGAGACAAATGAGTCCCAGACAGCAATGAGAGTCCGAATGAGATATTCAAATAAAATATGATTTTTCTGATGCTTTCAAATTGGCGTTTATTTCGTTATTTGTATGATATCTTGTGTGTAAAACATGTATTCATTGGAAACTATATTACTGTTTATGTGTTAAATATGTATGAATTAGTAATAGTCTGTGTATAACACGATTCTATCATATATTGAAATGATTCCTAACTTGTGTGCCATTCATAGACCAGAATATTCTCGAGTCATGGCTTGTGTTTAGCGCTGACGAGAACACTGCGGGCAATACTGACACCTATTGGCGGGTCTCTCACACGCCGTACGTCTCAATGGCTACTATTGTAAACGATTGACGCAATGCTTGTATGCATTCAGTGAGTGAATGACAACAACAACACAACTGTCATCTCAACACACCATCCGTTGAATCCATTGAATCCAGTGATACCATCACTTAAGCCATGGACCAAATGGATGATAATAACCTTCGCTACGAACTCGAGTCACGGGGACAGTCCATCGGACCCATTGTCGGTATGTCTTAACCACTGATTGTCTCGTAAATTGAGATTTTGTTTACAAACTCACGATTTGGATGTCATATCATGTCTTGTGATCTCATGTCAGACTCGACTCGTGAGTTGTATCGACGACTCCTCAAGCGATTGATGGACGAAGAGTTGGATCAACTGATTGGAGGACAGCAGGAGCCCATCGACGCCGACGACGACACCGAAGAGGAGGACGAGGAGGAAGAGCTGGACATCCATTCAGTGAATTCCGGCGCGAAGACAGCGATTGAACCGAAATCGTCGTTCAGATCAAAGATTGTGTTGTTTTTATTCACACTATTTCTATGCATTGTTTTCGCATATTATGTGAAACAGCGCTAAAAATTGTCATTCATTTGATGCCAACGAGTGTTTTGAACGCTAACCGAGAAATTGATGGCAAAATTGTGCGCTATTTCTATACAAAAACTTTTTAATTTACTTAATATATAGTCATTTACCGTATGTTTTGTATCCTGTGTTCAGTTTTATTGTCATATTTTTGATTGTATTTTAAGTTATTGTTTAATATTCATAAGTATTTGTCACTTATTTTATGTTAATTATAGTAACAGTACCAAAACTAATGTATTTTATTTGATATTCACTATTTTCATCTAATTCACACCATTTTTAATCTATTTTTCTGTTATGTATACTAAAGTTTGTAACATTTTTAACAATTAATTGCATATGAAGTGAACTATACCGGTATAAACTAAATTCTTAGCAAACATACTGTATTTATCGGAATTTATAATATTGTCAAACAAACTGATGATTACTATTCTCTATCTATAAACATATGATTTTTATAATTTATATTTATTTACGAATGATTTGTATTTTTACATATGAGTCGACACTATTGCAAGTTATGGTAACAGTCGACGAAATACTTTATAAATTTTATAATCACTNCGTGCATTTGCTTCTGTATCTCATCGATGGTCAGCACTTTGTACACAAACTCCTGAGCGAACCTCGGCTTTGCCTCTTCGGTGCTGAGACTCATCTCGATGTCTGAATCGCATATCATATCGTCGTTGTCATCGCCGCAGACGCCGTTCGGGCGGTTCGAAGGGCCGAAAGGGTCGCTCCCGGTCTGGGGGTCGACGCCGAAGGCGTTCCCATTCGAAGGGAAGAAGTGGTGGCCGACGAAGAAGGAGAAGGAGATCGCACTCCGGAGGAGAGGAGGAGTGAAGTGTCGTTCCCTCGGAATCATGGCTTCAAACACAAAGACTTTTATCAAAATTATGTTTGAAATGATTTATTCCTAAAATAAAATTCTTTTCAAAAGATATTAAGTTTTCGTTTATTTAGTACTAAATATGAATTATAAATAGTCAAAGAATAGCCCAAAATAAACAAGAATTTGAGTGAAACCATTGAAATATTCTTCAGTGGTTTCAGAGATAATAGGATTTCTGTTAAACAATTTCTACGAAAACCGTTGAAGAGAGAAATTCCGTTAATTTCATTGAAAATTCAAATTAGTTTTTAACGGAATTTGTATTTTTTTTCATTTGATATTATAATCTCGCACATTTGAATTAATTATTTCTAAATTAGTAATTGTGTCTAACCTTTAGTATTACAAGTGATTTACTAATAGATATTACACTTGTTTTGTAGTTTGAATAGTTTATTTCAAATCTCACCCAACGGACAGCTTTTATCTGATTTACAAACTATTCAATAGATTTGAATCAATCACTGATTGGCGACCGGGATGTCGGACCCCAACCACGACAGCGATGACAACGACGATATGATATGCGATTCAGAC